TTAGTAGTAAAATAACATAGTATATTATTGTATTAATTTGTCAAATGCAGTTATTCCCTTTTATGACTCACCGTATTTTTTTACCTTGAAATAATGTAAGACCTCCATTTCCCCAATAAAAGTCTTTAGTTTGTATGTGCCTTCACGACATTCTGGGTTTAATTCATATGAACGCTGCAAAATCCACCTTGTTGAGGAAACATTTGTCCATTGACCAATCCTGTTATCTTGACTGTCCTGTTTATTACCAAAAACACAATCCATTTAGTCACACAGTCAACAAAACATATCTTGACCATTAATGGAGAAATATATAAATTATAGTGCTATAGGACTTAAAAAGTCTGTTTGTTATGACAGTACAGGAGGTATTGTGGTCTTACCTCAAGCACGACTGAACTATACTGTAAAAGAGTAAACAGTCATTAAATAATTGCCAGTACTAAAATGATTCAAAGCCAATAATAAACAGTTCAAGAGCAAATGAGGGTGATAAAGGAATTAGATAAAACACATCAAACCTGCTGATCAAGTGGTGCAAAGTTTTTATCCAGGGTAACAATTCTGAAGTTAACTGGGGAGACAAAAAGGAGTATGATAATCTCTTTTAAGCTTTTCTTTTATATGTTATTTCGCATGTTATTACTGCAGTAAGGTGCAGTTAAAGTGTAAACATGCCATGCCAGGATGTTCACGCCATATCGTAATTATGAGATTCCTACTGGTAAAAGACAAACACATCCTCATACAATAATTACAACTTATAACATGTGAATTTTGGAAGAGTTAAAACTTCTACATGACCACAATAGATTAATCACAAAATGTATGGGTGCTTTGGAAGACACAGATTATGTGTGTAAGTATGCAATTTAGTTTCCCCACTGCCTAGCTAAAGGTGAGTGGACAGGCACACAGCACATTTTAACATCCTGGCCACTGGGGTTCCTCCCCTCATTGATATGGCTAATAATCATGATGACTCATGCAAAGTTCTGGCATCCATGCAGAGTTTATCTCCATCAAATAGACCTGAACAAGCTAATCAAGGCCAACACGAACCAGGCAGGTATTTTGTTCAGGTTTGAAGCTAAACTCTGCGGTGGCCATCCAGGATGAACATTGTCCACCCCTAATCTAGCCCTATACGACAGCAGATTAACTTGCAGAAGAAAGTTTATAGTAAATGAACTCTCTACAACTAAAGTCGAATGATCTTCTCTGAAGTTGAATGTGACTTCAGCTTTCCATTTACTTATTGATGGGTGTGCTGGTTCTGCCCCTCTCACCCTGACTTGGTGCCTGTTTGGGATCTGTCCTTGGTGTTTATCACATGTTCTGACACTTTGAACTACTGCATGCACTGGAGTTGAAAGTGCTCTCGTTCAAGTGGTGCTTTGCTAGGATTCTTATATTTTTTTAAACTATTAGCAAACGAATCCTGTTTTAATCTATTTCCAAACTTATCTGGTTTGTAAATACAATGACCTGCTTACTTCATACTTTTACCATCTGCAGGGTTTTGTAACACTTTTATTTTTGACACTAATGACCTATACTGCTACTTCAGCTCACTGCATGATGATAGCATGCTTTACTTCATGTTCTGTATGTGTTACATATCGGGGTAAGATGTCAGTGACACCAGATTCATTTACTCTATGCCGAGATTATTCTTTGAAACATTCACAACTCACCAGTTTGTCCAGGAATATAGATGGGTTTATCCGTCTGGATAAAGGTCAGAGGATCGTAGGATTTGAACATGACTTTTCTCTCCTCAGTCATCTCGAAGGACTTTCCCTGGAGTTCAACCTTGATTTTCTGCACTGTTTCTGCTTTTGCTAGAGGAGCCTGATGAGAAATATTGTACTGTATTTAACACCTCTATATGTGTGGCATCTCAAAAACAAAATGCAAGTGTACATACATAATTATTATATTTATAACATTTTTCATTCATTCTGTTTCTTTTCAGCTTGGTCCCTTTATTAATCTGGTGTCGCCACAGCTGAATAAACAGCCTGTAACATTTTTATAATAATGTTGAATTCATTTTGTTGTGCAAAAGACCTTGAAGTTAAAGCAGCGGTGAAACTCTTGCTCAGCTTTCTCCTGCAGCAGTAATGTGCTCTGGTTCCCATCATTTAGATAAATGTTCATGACGAGGCTTTCATTGGGATTCAGAAGACTTGCACACAGTTTGGCCTCAGATCCTGACTCAATCACTATAGGAAACATCACCATGAAAGATCTGTTGAGAGATAATAAAAATCATACACTATTACTAAATGTCTGTTATAATGTATACTTTAAAATTTTCAGACTGCAAAGGCTAACATTGAAACACAGCAGAGTTTTGAAAGATACAAAAGAAAGCTATCTGACACAGTATATTGAAAGGCAGCAATCTCTTTACCGGTTTGTAAAAAATACAGAAATTCAATTCTCATTTTGAATTTAATTGTCTGTTGGGGAAAGATTTACTATATTTAAAAGAATTTTGATAAATTTAAAACTAAAATATAACAGTGTAAATTAATGTTAAGTGAAAAAGAAATGTTCATGAATCGACACTTATAAGGAAAGTTATTATTTTAATATTCTGTAGTGAAAGAGGCACCAAATTCATGTCAAATACATACAGAAAAGACAAAAAAAAGCAAAATTGATACAATTTAATTATTGTAAATTGCTGGTAATGGAACTTTTGAATAATAATACATTTATTATAACATAACTGCAATATAGCGGGATTCCTCAAAAGTGCTAAAAACTTACGGCCTTGCTGTTTTTCCATTGACACAGACGAGGAGGAAAAAGATCAGGAGGAGCCCTTTCCAACAACAGCTAACATTCAGAGCCATGATGACGAAGGTCCAGGCCATGAGATGAGCTGAACTGTCCCTTATAAAGGGACTCTCCTGCTGAAGGAGGGACATAAAAACTTGTATTGATCGTTTGATTAATGATTTAACCAGGTAATGTAATTTAAACATTTGTGCAAATCCACACACTGTATGTTGCTTTGCAAAAAGTGTGATAAAAATAAAAACTGAATTTAAGTAAAGACAAAGAAAAGCTTGACATTTAATCAAACAATCATTCATATCTGTATGTATTTCTGCCTTAATATTGAAATGGTCTTACTTTTAATCGAAAAATATATAAATTTTATTTGCATTCACGCAATTTTCAGTCAAACAACATGCAAGACATAAAATCACACAGTACGCATATATGTGATCTCCAGAAAACAAACTCCCACTCTTCAGCTACAGTACACTGAAAAACACAGCTACCAACCTTTGACCCTGTGTCTACAAATAGTGGGCTCAGACAACTGATAAAAACAACCAGCATATTACATTCAGGGAAGGGCAAAATACATTGAAATGCATTTTAAAATAAATACCAAATACATCAATTTTACGTGTATTAAAATAAACTACAAACTACAGCAGCCACAAATGTATCAAAATAAAATACAGTATTTTGTATTTTGAAAACAATACAAAATACTTTTACAAGGTAGCATGAAATTTCTTTGCAAACCTTCAATAAATAAGCATGTTAGATCAATTTTTTCACCATTAAACTGACTTAGTGTACATTTACATTTAGTCATTTAGCAGACGCTTTTATCCAAAGCGACTAAACAATGTTTGACAGGAACATTGTTTCTGAAAACTACTACTCTTCAGTTTTAGTCATTTCCATATATTTTCTCACTTTGGCAATTATATTTTTCAATGCACAATCTGCAGATCAACTTCTAGTATTTGAAAGAGCCAATGAAGTATGGTAAGTATCGCTATTGTAGGACTTACATTAAGTTTGTTTGATTTATTTTCTTGGCATCTACATCAGCAATCCTTCCAAAAATAACATTATTTGTACATTTTACTCATTCTCCAAAGTTGTTCAGTTCTTCTTTAACTGGAAGTGTCTCAGTTTACACTTAGTGAACACCACCTTTAGGTGTTTTTAATTTAATTTCTGAACTGCCCTTGCATTTCTATCTGCAGCTCTGAGATTGATAAGAATTATGTGTTTTTGGCTTCATATTCCTGTTTTTGGACTGAAATTGTATTCCGTCTCATTTCCCAAGCAAAGATGATGATGAGTTGTACACTATACTGCTTTTATATATGACTGGTCTTAGTATTATGCAGTATACTATTTTCAATGAATGTGTCCCAAAATCTACACATGCCATTTGTGTTATTTTCTTTATGTGTATTGCATAATTTCCATTCATACTCCAAGCATTGACCACCTCCTTAATTCATTCATTCATTTATTTTCTTTTTAGCTTAGCCCCTTTATTAATCTGGGGTCGCCACAGCGGAATGAACCGCCAACTTATCCAGCATATGTTTTACGCAGCAGATGCCCTTCCAGCTGCAACCCATCACTGGGAAACATCAACACACACTCATTCATGAACATACACTACAAAAAATTTAGCCTACCCAATTCACCTATACCACGTTTTTAGACTTGTGGGGGAAACCGAAGCATCCCTACCAAACACAGGGAGAACATCCACACTCCACACAATAATGCCAACTGACCCAGCCGAGGCTTGAACCAGTGACCTTCTCACTGTGCTACCCACTGCGCCACCATGCTGCCACTTCACCTTCTTCAATATTAGTCTAATTTCTTTTCTAATCTAAAGCTTAATAATTAAGAAAGCAAAAAAATCAGAGGCCGCATTTGTTTCTATCCATTTAAACCACACTTCAGTTAATATGCTATTATTATTTTCGTTCATTAAAATCAGATAACAAAAACAGGCTGTGCCATCCATAACTTTGGTGTATCAGTCTTTTTGAACTCCACACTAAAGGAGAGACTAAAAGATTCTCTTCATGTTGAGGCAGTGGTTACAGAAGAAGGAACAGGTGAGCTGTTGGGTTTGATCAGATCTTTGTTATCTGAATTTATTAACTTTTTCATTTTTTATGTTTTATTTTAATATTACAGAGATCACCATGGCCAAATCTGAATCTGTACCTCTCACGTATGAAATTGGCAAAGTAAAAGTTATTGACCTGCCCAATACATATGAACATGGATCAGTCATAGAAGGAAAAGTAAGTCTGAAATCTATTTGTCTTAGTTTATTGCCATTCATACACAGAATTATTTCAGAATTAACTCCTTAACAATCTTATTTTCAACAGATCAAACTTTTCGATTTTAAGGATGCTCCAATTCCAAACAAAGAGGTTTATCTTTTAGAGGGTGAAAACTGGTCCTCCAAACTGCTCCTAAATCTCACTACAGACAGTGATGGACTGGCCAGCTTCTCTCTTAATACATCTAGTCTTTCTAAAAAAGACATTTCTCTGATTGTAAGAGAGTTTGTATTCACCTAGTTTTACTTAATATTCCATGAAGGGTTCAGTAATAACAGTTAACTCATTTCTGATTTTTTTCCAGGCAAATGTGTATCCAGATACCCGTTTTCGTCAGTACAAAACACCTTACTTCTCTAGAGATAAAAAAACAGTTAAACTCTTCCAGACCGCAACTCCATACTCCCCAACATTTAGTAAACTGATAATAGAGAATATTGAGCAGCCGATAAAGTGTGGCACTGAGATTACAGCCACTGTAAAGTATTATTTTGTTGGAGAGACGGTTGAAGACTTCAATACTGACATTGTCTATATAGTGAGTACTTGTGCACATTCTTAAAGCGATGGCTAATTTATTTATTTTGTTTGCAGCATTAATTTACTGCACTGGTCAGTTTATAACAGTGTCTTGTCCAAAGGAGTGATTGTTCATCATGGGTATGAGAAAGTTGAAGTGAAGTCTTCAAATGGAGTAGCAAGTGGCACAATGTCCTTCGAACTGTCTGTTGGTGCAGATGTGGCTCCTGTAGTGCGGATTCTAGCGTACTGTGTTCTGCCCAGTGAAAATATTATTGCCGCTAGCAAAAGTTTAGACATTGAAAAATGTTTTGGTAATAAGGTATGTATTGCAGCAGGTTAAAAATAATCTACTTAATACTGTACTTCTGAGTCCTAAAATAAATCCTATTTCACTATCATCACAGGTGTCTCTGCAGTTTTCTCCTGCTAAAGCAGTTCCTGGTGAGAAAAACACTCTCCAGCTCTCAGCTCAGCCTGGTTCACTGTGTGGCCTCAGTGCTGTTGATCAGAGCGTCCTGATCCTGGAGTCAGGAAAACGTCTAGATGCTGACAAGGTGTAGTGCTTTACAATTCAGCACTTGTCTTCATCATGTGAATCTTTAGTATGAATTGAATGACAAATGACATATTTGAATATGTCTGCTATAATCTATTTCTGTGTGAATGTGGTCTCATTGCAGATCTTCAGCCTGCTGCCATTTCAGTATGTGTATTATCCTTACAGTGCTGAAGATGAGCAGCCGTGTCTGCCTGTGAGACCCCGTCGATCTGTGCTGACAGACAACGTCTATAACAGCTTAAAGGTAACAGGTTGATTACACATGTGACAGTACAGATTAGAATGCTAGATTAAGATTGGGAGAGTAGATACCAAGCAAACTGTAATTGCACAAAAGCTCTTATTTGAGACATAATTATTCTGTACTTCCATTAAATTTTACTTGTGTTTTGACAGAGTGTGGGGCTAAAAATGGCTTCAAATTTGGCTGTGCGAGTCCCTGAGTGTCTGTCATTCAGAGGCTTGACTTATCACAGATTCAGAGATATAGGTACTGTACCTGTACTATTATTCCTATTCATGCTGTAGTGTTTAAATATACTATTGTTAACTATTGTCGAATTTGTCTTGTTTGTACGTTTTCATGGTTACAGTGATGTTTTAACTACTGTATACAAATGTAAACGTGCACACACATAAAAAACAAAACAATTGTATATCTAAAAGACAGTCCTAAACAAAGAAAAAAAAGGATATGAATTTGGAACAAGAAACATGCTCAAAAATGTCCAATTGTTGTGAGGACGCACACTTACATACATACAGTACAAACAATCGTGTGCCCAGATATTGTTGTTTGCTACTGTTATGCACCTATTATTTATTTTCTTCATATGCAAGTACTTTATGAATGCTTTGTTGTTTTTAATACACTATAAACTATCACTCTTTTTAGTGATGTATCATACCTCTGGTCGAGTGGGATTGGGGTCTTCAATAGAAAGTTCTACTTTTGATAATTCGGCAGTGACGATTCGGACCATCTTTCCAGAAACGTGGATCTGGGACCTTGCTGAAGTGGGGTATGTAAAGCATTATCAGTGCAGTTGTCATCAACTCAAGACTCTCATACATCTCTTCAGGTGCCCAGGACAAATACCTGGGTGCTTTGCATATTTTAAAAGCAATTTTGTGTTGTTTAATGTTTTATTCAAAACAGGAAAAATTGTTCTCTTTCAAACATTTATTCAGTGGATTAAAATCATCTCTAATTACACCCTGTCTGTCAGTTGACACACTAAACATAAGTGATGCAGGAGTTTTGCCTCTCACAAATTTTGCCTCTTCACAAAGTCAAGTTGGCTATTGGATTTAGATCATTATGAAAAATTACTGTCATGTTCAAACTGGCCAAACAGACAGACAAACTCAGAGAGAGTCTGGCTGGGTTAATAGATTAACCTTTATTATGTTCTCATCTCCCAGATCCTATTTGGAAGGAGCAATTAAACCTACACTAAACTGACCATAATTTATCAGTGAAGAGCAGTGCATGATTCTCTTGCTTTTTAGTGATTCTCTTAATTGTGTTTTTAACGTAAAAAAAACAATGTTACTTTGTTCCAATGAATACACAGATGTACACTGCCAAGAATTCAATTACTTTTGTTCAGATAACTTTAAAATCACGTCTTTTGCAAATGTGTAACCAAATGTTGCTTATTAGTTGAATAAGTATCAGTCAGGCATATTGTTATTTTTGCACCACAGTGACTCTGGATCAACTGAAGTTCCTGTCACAGTTCCTGACACCATCACCACTTGGGAGACGGAGGCCTTCTGTCTGTCCTCCACAGGTCTGGGTTTGGCTCCTCCCGCTCAGCTGACAGTATTCCAGCCCTTCTTCCTGGAGCTCTCTCTACCTTACTCCATCATCCGTGGGGAGATCTTTGAGCTCAAGGCCACTGTCTTCAACTATCTGTCCAAGTGCATCATGGTGAGATTTTAGACTCAGTCTGATCCAGTCAGATTAAATATTTCACTAATCACATGTGCTTGATTGACAGGTTAAAGTGAGTCCAGCTCCTTCCTCAGACTACACTCTCAAAGCCTCCTCTGATGATCAGTATTCATCCTGTCTCTGTGCTAATGGAAGACAAACCTTTAAATGGATCCTCACTCCTTCTGTTCTTGGTGACTTGTCCAGTCTGAATAATTGTTTCTCAGTGTTTGTGTCTGCTGTATCTTCACATACATGTCTTGTGATGCAGGAGTGGTGAATGTTACAGTCAGTGCAGAGGCAGAGGCGTCCCAGACTGTGTGTGACAATGAGATTGTGAGTGTGCCAGAGAGAGGACGCATTGACATCGTCACACGAAGTCTGCTTGTACAGGTCAGTTCACATCAAACAGCTCTCAGACATCATCTACCATTGATCCTAATATTGTTTGTGTTGTTATTTTTATGCTGCAGGCTGAAGGAATTGAAAAGACCGAGACCAACAGCTGGTTACTGTGTCCAAAGGGTGGGTTCTATAAATCTATAAACAATACCTTAAATGACCAAAAAAATGCTTATGCTTATGTAAACAGCCTTTGACACTGTTTAAGCTGTCAGGACACTTAAAATTGCGCTCAGGTACATGTACATCCTCCTTCCAATTATTATCCTAGATATATGTCTGCAACTTAGTAGGACTCCAATATTTTTTTCTTTTCATAAATTGCTTGAATCAAAACAATTCCTAGTTGTAATTGAGCTTTTGTTATTAATGGTACTTGACAGAGATATTCAAATATTCATTTTAAAGTAATAGTCTTCTGATGAGCATTGTGTTTTTGTATCTCTGATTCACAGGTGACAGTCTCTCAGAGAACGTGGATCTGACTGTTCCTAAAGATGTGATAGAGGGATCAGCAAAATCCTCCGTTTCAGTCATTGGTAACGTTTACGTACAGAAACAGAAAGAGGTTATGAGCTTGTGTTTGGATTTCTAAAATGTGTTTGGTTTGCAGGAGACATATTGGGTCGAGCACTGCAGAATCTTCATGGATTATTACGGATGCCGTACGGCTGTGGAGAACAAAACATGGCTGTTCTTTCTCCCAATATTTACATTCTGCAGTATCTGGAGAACACAAAGCAGCTCACATCAGCCATCCGAGAGAAAGCCAGCAGCTTCCTTAAGAGTGGTGAGACACATCAGTCATGATGAGAAACTACTGAGATGGAAAAATTATTTGTTTATTTCTCAACACAGCTGAATGTCAGACACAATCTGCTCTAACATTAACAAGCATTAACCATTATGCAACTAAACAGGATACCAGAGACAACTGAACTATAAGCATTTTGATGGGGCTTACAGCACATTTGGTTATGGTGATGGGAACACATGGTATATATAATTTCACTCTTTTGTTAAAGCAAAATTAAAATCAAAGAAATATTCTAAATTATTAAATCTTCCACACCACCAGGTTGACTGCCTTTGTCCTGAGGTCTTTTGGCAAAGCTCAGAAATACACATTTATTGATCCACAAATTATTCAGAGTGCAAAGGATTGGTTAATAAGCAGACGGGATTCAGACGGCTGTTTTATCCAACAGGGAAGACTGTTTAACAACAGAATGAAGGTCTGTCTGTCTGTCTATCACTATAGCAATCATCTGGAAAAAAATCGAGTAACTAGGAACCTTAGCTTTTATTTTTAAACTTTTCTCTTTCAAACATTTAAACGCAACATTAAAACATTTTTTCAAACAGTGTCTAAATTAACATCAAGGTATTGATTGTGTTGCCTTACCCCAAATTCTCCTCTATCATAGGGTGGAGTGACTGATAATGTGACCATGACGGCCTACATTACTGCATCACTGCTTGAACTGGAAACTCCAGTCACAGTAAGTTCATCATCAGGAAAATCAGTATAAACTCTTAGTAAAATGACACTCGCAGCATCTGTTTTTCTGTTTGCGTCTCAGGATCCTGTTGTCACTAAAGGCTTGTCATGCTTGAGGTCTGTCATCGAGGATGTCAAAAACACTTACACCACTGCTCTGCTGGCCTACACTTTCAGTCTGGCTAGAGACACCAACACTCGACAGCAGCTTTTCAGCAAACTGGAGGATCTTGCTATTTCAGATGGTAAGATATTGCTTTCTGATGACTTTCTGCACTGCACTGTTGCTTTTGTCCTGCTGGTTGAGTTTGTCTTTTGTGTCCTAAAGGTCCTCTTGTCCACTGGTCTCAGTCTGCATCTGCTGATGACTCTGCTTCTCTGGATGTGGAGATCAGCTCATATGTGCTGCTAGCTGTTCTCACTGCAGATTCACTCACTACAGCTGATCTGGGCTTTGCTAACAGGATTGTCAGCTGGCTTGTGAAGCAGCAGAATGCCTATGGAGGATTCTCCTCCACACAGGTTCCTCAAATCAAACACATTATTGCTGAATGGCTAAAATTGTCACATGACTGAACTCATTTCTTTCCCAGGACACAGTGGTGGCTCTTCAGGCTCTGTCTTTGTACGCCACCAAAGTGTTCAGCTCTGACGGCTCCAGCACAGTGACTGTACAGTCAGCAGGAGACTCTCACCACTTTGATGTCAATCAGGACAACAAGTTACTGTACCAGGAGAAACAGCTGGCCAATGTGCCAGGCAAATACAGCATTGAAGTCAAGGGCTCAGCCTGTGTGTCTGTGCAGGTCTGTAGATAGCTTTGTTTAATCACTTCCTCTCTTGGCATTTTGGAGTTATTCTGCTTTGAGATTTTTTATAAATGGGTTTGTTTGTTTTGACTCCCTCAGATGGCTCAGTTCTACAACATTCCCACTCCTACTGAAGCTAAAACATTAAGTATTGATGCTGAGGTTGAGGGAGATTGCAAGAAAACCTTTGGACAAAATCTAATGTTAAATGTCACTGTGACGTAAGAAGTGTAACTTTACACTATAAGACCTGATTATGGTTGTGGCTTTAGTTTATTCATCATTAACTCTGATGATTCTTGTTTTTGTGTTTTACAGATATGATGGTCCCCAGAATAGAACTAATATGGTTATTGTGGACATTAAACTCTTATCAGGATTCACAGCTGATACATCAATGGTGTGTTTTACTGTTAAGGGATTCATTTGATGCATTGATTCACTGTGCATCTAAGACAGAATCCATGGTTAGGCATGTGGTGTTATAAATGCATTTATTAATCTTTAATGGGTTTTCTGTAAAGCTTAAAACTCAACGGCAGTCATTTGACTCTTTGGATTTTTTTGGGCACGCACCTGTGGAGCGGATTGATTCCAAAGATGATCATGTCCTTGTATATCTGGAAGAGGTGAAAGATCACCAATGTTTCTATTTTAAAGTTACAGTGATTGACTTTAAAATCTTCAATAATTTAACTTGTGACCTTTTTTATCTTCTTGAAGGTTTTAAAAGAAGACCCAGTGAATCTCCAGATTGGACTGAATCAGATTATTCAAGTGAAGAATCTTAAGCCAGCTGTTATTAAAGTGTATGATTACTACCAGACAAGTAAGATTTTATGAGTCATTTGGGTTTTATTATATTATTCAGAAGTACCAGCTAATATTAAACTAATTTCTCTGTATCAACATTTCCCCTAGGTGATCAGTCAGAGATGGAGTACTCGTCCCACTGTGAATGAAGATTCATGCTTCACTTCTGCAGCTTGGAAAAAGATGTTAAATACTCACTAAATGTTTAATGGTTGTATCTCAATCAGCACCCAAGCTCCTAGCTTAGCTCACTATACATTGGAACACACAGAGTGTGACATGAGAACGTACTTATACATCATCAAAACTGGAATTTAGAAACAACAGCAGAACTAATAATTTATATATATTATTTTTATTAAGATTTAAAAGTACAATTTAGCTTAATACCTCGACTGTTTCATATACCAGCAACATTTCAACCAATAAACAGTTATACATTTTTGACTGATCGTTCCTATCCTGTCCAGCTATGTTCATTCATGTAAAAATATGTTGCATTATGGAACTTTTCAGAGTGTGAACACTTCAATGTGCTGTAAACATTTTGTGACTAAGACAGCACTTAAAATGGCTGACACCCTGATCAGTGCACTGACTACTTTACAATGTGCTGAGTGAGATGAGCCCTACATTTTTAGTAGTTTTTCTTTATCCTGAGCAAAGTAATTTCCAACTTTGTGTGTAAATGTACAACAAAAGCAAATGCATGTAAACAAATCACTTTGAATGCAAATGATTAAAAGAGTTTACAAAAACGATTTACAGTCCGTCTTTATGTTCTTCTTGTAACTGCAAGACATCCTTTCATTCAATCAATCATTTTCTTGTCGGCTTAGTCCCTTTATTAATCTGGGGTCGCCACAGCGGAATGAACCGCTGACTTATCCAGCAAGTTTTTACACAGTGGATGCCCTTCCAGCCACAACCCATCTCTGGGAAACATACACTACGAACAATTTAGCCTACTCAATTCACCTGAACCACATGTCTTTGGACTGTGGGGAAAACCAGAGCACTCTCTTTTGAAGCTATTAAACATAAAACAGAAATTCTATATTTCTATTTTTCAATATTTATTTACTGTAGGCTGTAACATTATATTTCAATTGAGGAAAAGAAAAAATAATAAACATGCCATTTAGTACACTTTGGGGATAAAAATAAAGAATATGACATTAGTAATAAAGGGTTTTATCAGTGTCTGTTTATTTCAGAGATTGTGTAATGTTGATCATTTGTACCCATTATTTTCCAAATTGTTTCATATAGAGTCATGTTAAAAGGTCAAGTTAAAAGTTGCCTGTACAGTATTATTCAAATTTTGCTCTATAATATTACTAAATTGTATTAAATCTAGCCAAATGTTTAAAAATATTGATTGTTCCTATATATGGCAAAATATAATATAATTAGTCTATGTCTAATTAGCCCTATGGCCTGGAGTAATAATTAACCAGGTTGTCAGCAGTGGTGTGAAGTAACAAATACAAATACTCAAACTCATACTTTAATTAAGTAGTTTTTCCTCAGGAATTGTAATTTAAGTAATTTTTAAAATGTGTACTTTTACTTCCCTTGAGTCCATTTTTAGATCAGTATCAGTACTTTTACTCCACTACTTTCCTTCAACCTGCAGTCACTACTTTATTATTTCTTGTCTATGGGGACGTTGTGTGACAATATTAAAATATTAATAAATACCTACTATAGCATTTAATATTATTAAATTTTAATAACTTTCTTAAAATATAAAGACAGAAATTTTTGTAACGCTGAATGTCTCTTTATATCATAAAATAATTATTCCATATAATCTCAGGGATAAGCAAGTGTCTTTTTAAATATACATTTAAAATCACAGATTCAGGTAAGAGCTCCTGGTTCAAAAATATTTGACTGTGTTGTCAGAGAACTTACAAATGCAAACATCAGTTTACTGTAACTCACCCACTCACTTTGAGTGGGTGTAATATGTGCTTTTGGATGTTAGTTATCAGAGCCCAATATTTGTTTTGGTCAAAGGTCAGTAGCTGTGTATTTCTATGTAAATTAAGTTAAGAGTCAGGGTATGTATTCAGGAGATCACATGTTTATGCTCACTACACTGTAAAAATGCTGGGCTCCACACAATTCCTTCATGTTATCCCAACACAAATTGATTAAGTTAACTTACTTCATTTTTCAAATAGAAGTAGATTGAACATAAAACAAGTTGTGCCAAAAAACAACAAACAACTAAAAAATTGTGTTTGTTCAGCTCATTTTAAATAAGTAACAAAATAAAATCCTTTTTTGAGTCTATGTAATAAAATATTTCAGTAAAGGGCTTGCTTGTTATTTGACAAAAATGAAATGCCTCAACCTTTCTTTTAAAATAAAGATTTACATGTTAGAACATCAACAAAGAAATTCAGTTCTAAAATGTTCATTAAGGAAACTACACTAAATGTTTATTTTAATGCTTACGGCTAAAACATTTGTATGTTTTAATCTAATATTTCAGCGCTTTAAATCTTTTTTTTTTCGTTTGTATAAATCAACAAATGTGCATTTGCACAGGCTTTTAAACTATATTAGCTGGTTGAATCATTAATCAAATGATCAATATTTTTTTAAGGCCTCCTTCAGCAGGAGAGTCTCTTTATAAGGGACAGTTCAGGTCATCTCATGGCCTGGACACTCGTCATCATGGCTCTGAATGTTAGCTGTTGTTGGAAAGGGCTCCTCCTGAACTTTTTCCTCTTCGTCTGCGTCCAAGGACAAGCAGCAGAGCCGTAAGTTTTAACACTTTTTTTTTTTCCTAGAGGAAGGCAGTTATTTACTATTGTGTACATTTTTCAGTCTCTTTTATTGTGTATATTTGAATAATATAAAATTAAAATGATATTTTTATCAAAACTTTTATCATCAAAATATGATGATAACAATGTGTTACAGTAAATACTTTACATTTATCAAAACTATTTTTAAATCCTCTTTTAAATGGAATTTTCAATGGAAAAACGGATGCCACTTTATTTTTTGTTTTATTGTTGTTATGAATGGGGTGATGGTAAAAGAGGTGAAGTTCCAAACACAGCTTTATTATAATGCAGGGTGGTTAACAGGCAGACAAACAATCGAAATCCAATAAAAACACAACGTGGCGTCTCTGTCGTCTGAACACTATGACAGTAATGAATATTAATGAAGTTGCACAATAGAGCACGCTGATTGGTTTGAACCAAGCCTTACTCATGCATTAATGCAGCACACTGTAAGACGTAATAAGACACACTCTGACACAGACGTCCAGTCTGCACGCTGGAATACACGCTATTATCTCATGGTCATGACGCAGCTTCAAAAATTCGTTTCAAACCAGAAGTACAGATTTGCTTGAAATAATGCAAAAACAACCAATTTACACTTTTTAGTGAAATATATGTGTCCTAATAGTGTTTTTAGCAGTGTGGGACACATATACGACTGTCAACAGCTCAAAAAATGTGTTTTGGTGTTTCGTGAACCTTTATTTAACAATTATTATCTCACATCAGATCTTTCATGGTGACTTTTCCTGCCGTGATTGAGTCAGGATCCGAGGCCAAACTGTGTGCAAGTCTTCTGAAGCCCAATGAAAGTCTCGTCATGAACATATATCTGGTTCATGGGAACCAGAGCACATTACTGCTGCAGGAGAATGCTGAGCAAGAGTTTCACCGCTGCTTTAACTTCAAGGTCTTTTGCAAAACAAAATGAATTCAATACAATTGTAAACATTTGCTTTTTTGAAGAAAAGTTGCTGTCTGTTGCAGAAGTTGAAAATGCAAAACATTATTTCTCATCAGGCCCCTCTAGCAGAAGCAGAATCAGTGCAGAAAATCAAGGTTGAACTTCAGGGAGAGTCCTTCAAGATGACTGAGGAAAGAAAAGTCATGTTCAAATCTTACGATCCTCTGACCTTTATCCAGACTGATAAACCCATCTATATGCCTGGACAGATTGGTGAGTTGTGAATGTTTCAAAGTCTAAATTTTAGTAAATAATTCTGGTGTCACTGACATCTTACCCTGACCACAACTGATGTAACATACATTAAAGGGCCATGAAACCCCCTTGTTTCAGCAGAGTGTTTTCACAACTCTACTTAGGAAAAAGTCAGAAAAGTGGGCATGTCCAGCTCTGTTTAGGGGGAGTGTCGGAGGAAGAAAAGAGGCTTTGTGTGGGAGTGTCTATTTGAGCGCGCTGAATTTCAGAGTCAAAACACACACCCTACAGGGGAGAAAGAGACTGTTTACATGGACATCTGTAGTCGAACTATTTGCCAAATTATTAAATGGTGGACTTTAACTGCAGTTTGGCTCTTTCATTCAGGGAATTCATTCATGTCCCTCGCCACAAAGGAGATATTTGATTCGAGGAACTGCTCTAAGCGTGTATTTTCATGCAATGTTTGATACCGCACGGCGAATGAGAGAAAAAAAACCCAGCATTTCCCGGAAACTTAGATGCACTCAGCAGGTAGTGTCAGAAAGCTGCGTGTGTTATTCCGGTCACAAAATCCTACATGAGGTTATAGTTTGGTTGTAAAGCTAACTTGTTTACACTCGGTTCAATAGTTTGTTCGATACGAATAAAATATGAACTGAATAAACAAAGAGCACTGGTCGCTCACTTACCAAATCTGAAGAGACAGGACAATCACTAGCAACTAGAGCCGCGTCTTTATTAAGAGAAGACTACAAGCGAATCCGGATCTCAGCGTTTGCAGATGAGAACAGCTCTCAGGTAAACAATAATCCTCCTTAGACACGTAAGTTATTGTTGTCGAGCGTCGCGTACACTGTTAATCCTCACGTGAGTCTGCGCTCTCACAGAGAGAAAATGAAAACAAAACTTAACTGCAGCAAACTATAAAAGCAACACTTCACGCTTGTTTTGCCAACACAACGTGGCGTCTCTGCCGTCTGAACAAGCTTTACTCATGCATTAATGCAGCAGGCTGTAAGACGTAATAAGACACACTCTGGTACAGATGTCCAGTCTGCATGCTGGAATACAACGCTATTATGTCATGACCGTGACGCAGCTTCAAAAATTTGTTTCAAACCGGAAGTATGAATTTGCTTGAAATAACGCAAAAACAACCAATTTACACTTTTTATTGAAATATATGTGTCCTAATAGTGTTTTTAGCAGTGTGGGACACATATACGACTGTCAACAGCTCAAAAAATGTGTTTTGGTGTTTCGTGACCCTTTAAGTAAAGCATGTTATCATCATACGATGAGCTGAAGTAGCAGTATAGGACATCAGGGTCAAAAATACGCATGTTACAAATACCTGCAGATATTACAAGTTTGTAGTAAGTAGTTAAATGTATTTGCAAACATGTAAACATAATAGAGAACCAGATAAGTTTAAAAAACAGATAAGAATGAGAGTCCACAGCTAACAGCTTTGAAAACACAAGAGTGTGGGTAAAGCACTGCTTAAATAAGAGCACTTTGGTCAAAGAGTGCGTCAGAAAGTGTAATAAGCTCCAAAGACAAATACTAATTAGCTGCCATGTTAGGGTGAAAAGTTGAACTAACAGTCACATACACCTTTAAATAAGATGCCTTGTGCCCATTTAAACCATTAAGCAAAACCTTTAAGAGCATACGGCCCTCATCTTGTGCAGCACCCATATGTGTTGCATCATCTGTACTAGGGAAAAGCATACTCAAGGAGCACTCATAACATTATCAAATTAGAAGATGCCAATCCTTTAGA